CCGGTGCTACACCTGCCGCCCCGGGGGGGGGGGGGGGAGCAGGGGGCCGAATGGAGGCTTGATGAAAATTCCGATTGCCGCTCCCTCCGAGGGATCTCGTCCCCCCCCCTCCTGTCTCCGGGGGGAAAAAAAGAGCATCCGACTGAGGGAGGATGCATGTGCAACCCATTCGGAAGGATGGCGCTTTCAGCTCGGCAGTGTGTGGTTACACCCCCCCTCGGCGAGTCTCGGGGGCCAACCAGGACCGTGTCCCCGGAGAACTGCCCACACATCCCTTCTCCGCAGGGCGGAGCGGGACGGGGGCACAAGAGTGAATTCCCCCAGATGCACGCCGCCAAGAGAGAGCACGCGTACGCACACACACGCACACACACGCACACATCGTAGGCTTGAACGCCGAAGAGAGGCTCCTCCCCAGGCAGACATCGCCCCGTCGTTAACAACAGCCCTTTCGCCGAGAGGCAGCCAGAAGGTGAGAAGAACCACCGACTGCGCCCGCTGCCAGGTCGCCCACAGCACAGATGCCCCCCCCCCCCACCCAGGAGGCGGAAGACTGAGACCTCACCAGCCGACGGCCGAGCTCGGGTCCCAGCACGTCTGCGGCCACGCCCCATCCCGCCCTCCCCCCATGACACATCCACGTTCCGTCACGCCCGCCAGACGAATGGACATGGCAAAGGGACCACCTAATGAGCTGGGGGGGGGGGGGAACCATCCCGCGGCTCGATACTCACCGGGGCGGTAGCCGAGAAAGATAGAGTTGCCTGCCCCCAGGGGACGCGGTGGCGCGTGTGAGGCGGAGGAGGGCATACAAATTGCCCAAAATGCGCCGCGGGTGTGATTAAACTATATCACATGATTGACACATGGGGGCTGACGGCCAACACCGCCTGGTCCGCCACAAGGCCCACCCCACCGGCACGCCACGATGGTCGGCCTGGCCTCTCGGTCCCTGGGACCGGCGTTGTGGGCACGCGGATGGGCGCCCGAGGGGGCGCATGCGTGCGGGAGCCCTCTCCCCTCCGGCCCCCCGTCCGCCCCTCCGCCCTCCTCCCTCCTCCCTCCTCCTGGATGTGGGAGAGAGAGAGAGAGAGGGGGCGGGAGATCGATCCGGTTCGGCGGCGAGATCCTTCTTCGGCCGGCCGCTTCCCCCCGGCCGCGCATCCCCTCTCCAGCCAGACTCCTGCCCTCCCTCCCCCCCCCCTTCCCCCGCTCGGCGTCCTGCCTCTCTCTCCTTTGCCCCTCCCTCGCTCAATCGCGCACGCCCTGGCTCCTCGCTGAGGCTAGGACAGCTACGCCGACACCCTCTCTCCCTCTTTGGACTTTGGCGAATTCAGTGGTGGTCTCGCTCCAGCGTCCCACCCACCTCTCCCCTTCTCCCTTCTCCGATTGTGCGTCGCCACTCCTCTCCCCCGCATGTTCCCCCTACGGCCCCGGTGTCCGGCCGCTTCTGCTCCATGCCACGCCCTGCCGCGATGTCTTCCCTTTTGGCATGCTGTGGGCCTGCCCCGATTGTGCCATGCGGCGGACCAACACTCGGAGGGGTGATGAGCCGCGCGCACGGCGTACCACTACGCCGACACCCCCTCTCTCGGCGAAGGAGGAAAGAAAAGTGCCCGGCACAACACCCACCACCTCCCGGTCGCCCTGTCTAACATCTCCACGTTCTGTGCCCGTCCACTCGGAAAAAAAAAACAACAAAAAAACATCCGCCATAGCAACATGGCTCACGGATCTTCCAAGAAGAAGGCCCCTGGCGCTGAGAGCCCTTTCTCCATGGTCACCGCCAATCTCTACATGCATCTCCTGCCGGCCGACATGGGTGACCCCCGCCGGGGCATCGACCAGCGTCTGAATGCCATGCTGCTGCAGTGCGTATCCGGCACCGGGGCTCCCCTTTGCACGCATACTGGCGACCGAATCCCCTGACACGCCATCCATCCCGGCCCCCCCCCCCCCCCCCCCGCTTCTCCGGCACAATCGCATCCGTTCTCGTGCCGGCTGCCAGTCACTCGCAGCACATTGGCGGCACGGTCCTCTCCTACTCGGATGTTCAGTTCCTTGACGATGCTGGCAAGCCGGCCTCCAGCACCAAGAACATTGTCTCCGGCCGCATCATCAACGATGCCCCATTCATTCATGTGACCGTCCGCGCGAAGTTCCTCGTTTTCAAGCCCAAGGTTGGCAGCCAGCTGGGTGCGTCGGCTGGACTTTGCGCCTTTTCTCCGGTAAAGGCCTACCTGGCCACTGACACATGCATCCCCCCCCCCCCCCCCCCCCCCC